ATATATACATGATCAATATTAAAAAAATAATAGTCTTCTTAAAGAATTAAACTTTCAATGATTAAATTAAAAAAAGCAGTTTGTGATATATGATAATCAGTTCAAATTGCCAGATTTTAAATCTAATTCTATAAATTTTATTTCATACAATATAAATAAATATATAATATAAACATAATAATATTATCAAATCTTAAAATCGATAATAATTAAATTTATAAATAAAATATTATTAATTTTAATAATATTTGTGAAGTATAATTATAAACAAAAAAATATATAAATGCAATATTATAATATTTTATTTATTTTATTGTAATTATAAAATAAATGAAAATATAATTAAAATTTACCTCAATTGGTCCTGCATACATCATTGGACTTGGAAAAATTGCTAACAATGTAGAACTAGCATCCAATACTCCTTCATTAAGTACAGCTTCATGTTGTAGAATTCTTGTATGTAATGGTACATCATCATCTTTTGTCCAACCACCCAGAGGATGCAACAATAAAACAGGATTTTTAAATCCTCTATCTTCTAATAAGCGTTTTTTTGTATCCTATAAATACAAATATAAAATATTTATGTAAAAAAATTTATTATATAAATTTATTATAAGTTAACAAATTAACATACTTGCATTAATAATGCATGACCATTATGTATAGGATTTCTAAGTTGAAATGCAAATACAGCATCAGCTTTCATTTTTCTACATTTTGTTCTAATTTCATTTGGAGTAAGTCTATATTTATCTAGACCATCATGCCATCTAATCCTTTGAATAACTTCTATATCACCACCTACTAACCAATCGCCAGATTCATGAATTATTTTTACATATGGATGTCCTAAATTATTAGTACCAAATTGCCAACCACATCTTTCTTCTTTTCTGTGAAAATAAAATTCAGGCCTACGTAATATTGCAAGAGGTTTATATTTATATTTCAATGTAAAAGCTGAAAGCCCATTCAAACGTTGCTTATCCTCTGCATGTACTGCAAGGACTATGGGAACTGATTGGTTAATTTCTTTATCATCTTCAAGAAGACATTTTAAATGTTGAGTCTAAAAATATTTTAGAAATAGTTTATGCTTGTAATAATAATAGTTGAATTTTTAATATTATTTTTATATTATTACTTTATATTTTATATTAATATATATTATATATGTATGTTATATACCTGAAGATATTGATGTTCTCTCATAAAACCAGTAAGAGGTGCTGCCCAACCTTCTGCTAAAACTTGGAGCCATTGTACATCTATTTCACTAATTTCTAAACTCTGAAGAGTAGCTGCTTCTGTTTTGGCAGAAGATATTCGTGATTCTGGAATGAACAACTCCCGTATTGGTATAGAGGGTTTTTGAAGTATTGGTATAATACAATGTTTCTCCAGAAGATCAATAACAGTTGCAGCTGATTCTTCTGGAGTACAGTTTTCAGTGATTACCACTAAATCAGGATTTGTTGGTCTTTCATACATCTGATCTATTCCAGTAAAACCTTTGATTGTGCCTTCACGTGCTTTTTTATATAATCCTTTTGTATCCCTAGCTTCACATACATTAAGAGGTGTATCAACAAAAATTTCAAAAAATGGAAGATCCGACATTTTATGAATTTGTCTTGCCATTTGTCTATCTTCTTCAAATGGCGATACAAAACTACATAAACAAATTTGACCACTATCGGCAAATAATTTTGCTACTTCTGCAACTCTTCTTATATTTTCTTTTCTATCTTCTTTGCTAAAACCAAGATTGCAGTTTAAACCACTTCTTACATTATCTCCATCAAGTCCATAAGCAGCAATTCCATGATTAACTAAAATAGCTTCAACTTGAAAAGCTATGGAAGTTTTTCCTGCACCAGAAAGGCCTGTTAACCAAACTGTACATCCTCGAAAACCTCTTATACTGCCTATTGCTTGTCCACGTTTTGCTCTTGATACATGATGTGCTTGCTCTGATACATTGCTACAAGTCTAATAAAAATTTTATTATTTATAATACAAAAATTAAAAAAATAAATATAAAAATATCAATTTTAAATATTCTTAATTACTCTAAAATAATTTTATCTATAAAATAATAAAAAGAATTTATCTGTCTTAAGAATTAAATTAAAATAAATATATATAAACATTTTAAATATTATGTATTGAATGTATATGTTTATTAGTAAAAGTATCTTAGAAAATATAAATAATATATACCGTCATCATACGTTTATTTGGAGTTTCGTTTGACATAACTATATTATATCTTTGACTTCGTAAATATATATATATTTATGAATGCACTTGTATACGTGGCAATTGATCGCGAATATAAGATAAAATTTTAATATATTAAATTTTTAATATAAAAATAATTGTTTTTCAAAAAAAACAAGAAAATAAATTTTGATTTTATTGCGATTTATATATGTTTTTGTACATTAAAATTGAATAAATAAAAAATAGGAAATGTTCTATTCCGTGATCAGTGATACACAACTGCAATAGTGAATAATACGAAACATGCTCTAACCATACTATACTATAAAACTAGTTCATTCAAAATGCTAACACTTTAACAAACGATGTTAATTTATAATTGTAATCATGGTATTTCTTAATCATCTTTAACATTTCAAGAATATAAATTAATTATAATTTTAAATATGTTATAAATAAAAAAACTAAATATATATATTTTATATTTATATATTATTAATTCTAATTAGGAGAATATTGAATAAATACAATTAAATTATTAGTATTATATTTATTATGCTTTAAAAATTTAGAAAAATATTTTAATATAAAAATAAAAAAATATTAAACATTACAAAACTAATATTAAACTACAATTAGTATCATTATTATAAATTTTTTTTTCAATATTATATTTTTTATTATTGGACATATATTTATTTATTGTATATTCTATATACATGTATAATATATTTGGATAGTTAAGAAAATAATATACATACAAATTATTATTCAATATATCTATTGCGTTGCACTTTAGTTACAAAATACATAGGTTTTTTAATAGATCCAAAAATATCGTTTATATAACCTAACAATATATATTTTGATTTATTTTGAAAATCTGAACAAATTAAAAATAAAGATGTTCTAATATATAATTCAATATTTAAAAACATGATTTAATAATCACTATATTAAATGTTTTAATAATATTGTAAATCATTCCTACAAGTATCTATTATTTTCTTCATTATATTTTCTTCATTATGAGATTATATATTTAATTCTTTAACATTTATTTATCTTAAAAAAGTATATAAATAAAATTTATGTAATATGTAATTATTTATATTACATAGTGGGCCAATGGATTTTATATATGTTAAATATTACTTATTGATTTATTGATATAAATTGATTAACTTTTTTCATATTGTATTACTTAAATATAAGATTATTTTTATTCTAAGATTATAAATATTTATTCAAGAATATAAACAAAGTTATGGTAATAAATAAATATGATATATGTATTTTAAGAAATATATATCTCTCTTGTATTTAAAAATATCTTTTTTTTAAATATATATGAAAAAAAAGAATTATATATAAAATATTACATCAGTTATTTATTCAAAAATATATTATGTATATAATTTTAAAACTTTAAATATAGAAATTAATTCATTAAAAAAAAACGTTTATTTTCTAATAAATTTAATATACACAGAAATATATATTTAAAAATGTTTTTTATAAATTTAATGCACTATTATACTTAAATCATAATACAAATTTATTTATAATTTATATTATTTATATTATTTTCGTATTATTTTTTTTTATTTTTTATTTCCCATAATCCATTTCTAACAAACCTTTGTGCTGCATCTTTGTTTATATGAGGCATTAGAGTTTTCTTGTCATTAATTTCTTTTGCACGTGCCATAGACTTCTTTAAACGATCATTTTCCAATTTTATTCGATGTTTTGCTGGATCAATTCCTATATAAAATCAAAATCTTATATAAAATATTTAATAAAAACACTTAATATTTTACTAAATTTAAAATTATTATATAATTATTAATTGTTCTATTTTACCTTCTGCACGTAAATACATCCAAAACATACTATTTAAGCAATAAGACATTAATAGATTATATTCAATTTTATCTGTGTTAGAAAGTTTTTCATATATTGCAGGATCTGTAGCATATTTAATTGTATCTTCAATTTTTAACGTTATATCGCGAAATTGTTTAATTCTTGTAATAATATCTGTATCATGTGACAATTCTTCAAAATCTGCATCCATGTTTACTTCGGATAATGACACTTCTAACCTATAATTTATTTAATTTGTATAATGAAAACTTTAAATCTTATAGAAAAAAATTTCCATTAAATATTCTATTATAAAGTACAATAGTTTCATTTTTTATTCACAATCTAGATGATTCTCATGATTAGAATTTCAAATCATAAGATAATATTTGTTTTAGGATATTGTATATTATTTGCAATTAAATTTATTGTTCAATGATAAATTTTAATATTTTTTTAATTTATTTTTCTTACTTTGAAAAATTATTATAAACTTTTTTATATAATCAAAAATTTAATAAATTGTCATATTATCATGTGAACTTAATTTTATATTTAATTATATTTAACTTATATTTAATTTTATATTTAACTATCATGTAATAACATTATAAATAAGAACTGAAATTTGAAATCATTATTACATGTAAAAAATAAGAAATATCTATCATTAATATATATACTTATTTTATTATTTGAATATTTAATATAGATGACATATAATAAAAAAAAATTAAAATTTAAATATTTAAAAAATGTTATTTCTACAAAATATTTGATTTTGATTAGATTATATTACAATAATAAAACAATCATAATTTTTTTTAAGAATTATGTTTTTTTAATTTTTAATTTAAATCTTTATTTCTTTTTTTTAATTTTATTTTTTTTTAATTCGGATGCAGTATAATTTTTTTTTTTTATATATGTGAATGCTATTGTTTAATATAATAAATTATTTCTTTATGATCTGAAGAAAATGAAGTTTTGAAAATTTTCAATTAATACACAATACAATTTGATTTATGATTGAACCATAAATTTAAGAAGATCCAGGATTTTAAATAAAAATTGGAACAAACACATTAAGAAAAAAAAATCTTTTTCGAATTAATATTCTTCTATATTTTAAACAATAAATGGTTTCAACAAATTGTCTGCAAAAATAAAAATTATCTATGTTCCAAATTAATTGTTTTAATTTTTTGTGTTCTCTGTTAAACAAAGAATTTCAATACCAATAGTTACCAATATAAAATATAATAACCCTTAATTATTCCCTAAATTTGCATTTTTAAAATAAGTTCTTAAAAATCTAGGGAATTACATTTTCGAAATATATTTGACATCTTCTTTGCAAGTAATTCATGGAGAATCAAACAGCTGATTTGTTTTATGGTAGAACACATGTCGTGGTAGGATGTTATAATATTACAGTATTTTTAATGTAAAGTAATGAAGTTTTAACAAAAAAAATTGATACTTACATATTAGAAAAAAGATATTGTTCATCTTTATTTGAATGTGCGATGAAAAAGAAAGAATTATAAGTTGTTTTTAAAAAATTTTCGTCTAAGAAAAATGGCTGACCGTGATAGCGCATCTGAAAGCGATTCAAGCTCGATCGACGGAGGGCCAATTATGATGCCACCGTCTCCTGTAACTAGAGAACAACTTCAAAAAAGAATTGAGTCACTACAACAGCATAATCGTGTTCTTAAAGTTGAATTAGAAACATATAAATTAAGAGTAAAAGCATTACAAGAAGAAAATCGTGGTCTTCGACAAGCCTCTGTCATTATAGTAAGTTTCTTATAGTATATCTTATCAACTAAATAATATATTTATTTATTAATTATAAATATTATTTGATTGTAAAATATTTTATAATTATAATATCTCATTATTCAATATTTAAAATATTTAATTTTAGGTTAAATTAAAAGAATTTATTCACTATAAAATATTTTTTATACAAAATTATGTCTTTATTATAATTATTTTCCAATATTATATATTATTTGAAATATATATATTTTTATATGATTATATTTTAATTTTCTTTTTTTATTTAATTTTTCATAATTTAACTATATTCAATATATTAATATTTACATAAGATATTTTTAAAATAATTTTAGATTTATTTATTTTTATTTTTTTTATTTAACAAAAATAAAATATATGTATCATTATACATAAAATATATATATCACTTATAAATGAAGATAATCTTGAATAATGAATTTTTAATAATAATAAAATTTGATTCTATATTATTTATATAAAATACTATAAATTTGGAAATTATTTAATATAAGTAGCTATTAACATGTTGATAAAATTAATAATTATAATTATAAATATATAGTTACAAATATATTTTTTATATCAAAATTTTAAATTGTTTAATTTCAAAATGAAATTCATAATAATTTTTAATTTTCACATATTTTTATTTTAATGAATTGTGATAAATTAAATATTTTATTATTTTGTTAATATTCTTGTTGAATTATATTATAGCAAGCTAAAGCTGAACAAGAAGAGGAATTTATAAGTAATACATTATTAAAAAAAATTCAAGCTCTTAAAAAAGAAAAAGAAACTTTAGCACATCATTATGAACAAGAGGAAGAGTGTTTAACAAATGATTTATCAAGAAAGTTAAATCAATTGCGTCAAGAAAAATGTAGATTGGAACAAACTTTAGAACAAGAACAAGAATGTCTTGTGAATAAGTTAATGAGAAAAATAGAAAAACTTGAAGCTGAAACACTTGCAAAACAAAGCAATTTAGAACAGTTACGTAGAGAGAAAGTAGAACTTGAAAATACACTTGAACAAGAACAGGAAGCATTAGTAAATAAATTATGGAAAAGAATGGATAAATTGGAAGCTGAAAAACGAATGCTTCAAATAAAATTAGATCAACCTGTGTCAGATCCTGCTTCGCCAAGAGAAATCAATAATGGTGATACTGCTACCAGTCTAAGTGCACATATTCAAACTTTAAGAAGTGAAGTAGCCAGATTAAGACATACCTTGTTTATTTCACAACAAGAACGTAAGAATTTTTATTATGCAATAATATGAATTTATTTGTAATAAATAATAAGTATGTTTTGAAATTTATAAAAATACAACAATATATTATATTTGCAACATTCAATTTAAATATGCTATTATATTACAGTTTGCTAAATTATTTTAATTACAAAAAAAATAAGAAAAAAATATTTTATTTAAATATTTTCATATTTTATTATTAATTTTTTAACATTTAATGTAATATAGAATATTTAATTATCAATTAAAATGTTACAAATCCTTTGCATAGCATTTAAAATATTATTAAATAAATAAAATATTAAAAATATTAAAAAATGAGAAAATTACAATAAAAAAATAATTATAATTAAAAAAAATATTTACATAAATATTTTAAATATTTTAAATACATATTTATATTTTAGATACAGAAAAAATGCAACGATATGTAAATGAAGAAAAACAAATTCGTGAAGAAAATTTAAGACTTCAGAGAAAATTGCAATTGGAAGTAGAGCGTCGTGAAGCTTTATGTAGACATCTTTCAGAATCAGAATCTAGGTAAATAATATTATATAAATTATATGAATACCTTAATTTGATATTTAAACTTCATTTATTTGTTAGTTTGGAAATGGAAGAAGAACGGCACTACAATGAAATTGTGATGTCTGGTGGAAATATAAGAAACCGTACTGTTTCTAGCCCAGTACCGTACAATCCTTCACCTAGTTCCTCTAGACCACTAAGTCCAGGTAATCATAATAACATAATAAAAATGAAATAAATTTATCATTTTTATATATTATTGTTATTAATATTTATATATCATTATGCGATATATCATTTATTATTTGTATATGTTTGTATATAAATATATATTTATTAATATATATTATATTTATAGGTTCATCAACCAGAGAAGGATTTAATACAAATCGATGTTATGCTTGTGGACAACCTACTACAATTCCATTTGCAAGTTCATCGCCTCCTTCCACTGTAAGTTACATTTATTTTAAATAGTTACAATAATTAATATATAGGTAATTAATGTATTACATAATATATTATATATGAAATATTAATATTGTATTAATCTGAAATATTTAATAATTTTAAACAGGGTCATGTGGTAACCTCATCCAATAGACGCACGTCAGATAGATTCATTAAACCTGCAATTCCACCAACTATTGTAAGTCCAAGTGGTCCACCAATTGCAGCTAATACAGCTACAAATACAACTGGTGGATCACCAATGGATATTACTAAAACATAAGTCAGTTGAATTCATCTAATAACAAATATTTCATCGTGTATTCGTATAAAGTACTTTTTTGTTGATGCATTTTTGCTATGTGATTGTATAACATACTTGAGAGTTATTTTTAAAAACATTTTGTTTTTTAACATTTCAGTCATTTTTTTCTGTTTTTATGATAATAGTATATTGCGCATAAATTAGTTTCGAAATATCCATAAAATTGAATATTTTATGAATTGCTCTGTATTTGTATCAAGTCGCTTAAATCTTTCTTCAAATATATAAAATAGTATTTATAAAAAAAAAAATTTAAAAAAAAGAAAAAAACAAAAAGAAATACAAAAAAACAAAAATAATCATATATAAAAATTCTGAACTGCTTCAAATAGCCTAACAGAATGAAAATTAATGGGAAGATCGCTGTTCTAATTTCTTTTGCATTTTATTATTATTATTATAAATAACCTAATGCATTTTTTAAATCTTCAAAGTAGTAGTATGAAAAAAAAATATTACTTTTTAATTTAAGTATATAGGTAATAGAAATAAATATTTCTGTAGCGGTTACTATGTAACCTATTTAAATTTTAATATTTTTTTCTTGTAATATTAGTTTTTATAATTTGATTATATGGCATAATATGGTGGATAATAGTTTTCAAGTTGCATAACTATAATTTTGTATGATTAATATTTATAATGAAAATAGAAGAGCGAGAACGACATTTCAAATTAATGCCTTAAAAAATATGCAATTACAGGTAAAAAAAAAAAGTGATTAACAAAGAAATAAAAAATGAAAATTTCTCAAATTTCTTACTTAATTCTTTTTTTTTTTTTTTTTTTTTTTTTTTTTTTTTTTTTTTTTTTTTTTTTTTTTCCAAAAAATATTTTATTTTGTAATTTTATAATATCTCAATTATGGTTCGTTTAAAATACTTTATATACAATCACATAATGTGAGTATTTCAAATATAAGCATTTGTATGTGTTTAAATCAACAAAACTAATATTGTGATGATAACATCTACATGACATTGTTGCATTTAAATGCAATCATATGAAACATTTGAAAAAGAAAAATTATTATAATTAAATATATTTCAAATATTTTGTTGTATTAGTAATGTACAAGTATTTCAATTTAATAATGAATAATATTTAACTATTTAATTTGATTTGGTAAACATACCATTATTTAATGCATATAATATTTGTTTTTTTTTAATCTTTAATAATATTGGTCTTTGACAAAATGAATATGTTTGTCAAATATTAAATTAATATATTTTGTGTGCCTTTTAATCACAAAATTTGCAATTTTGTAACATATGTCATGTATAATATATTTTCAATTGATATTTATATAAATGTGATAAAATATGACATAACAATCTTGCGCTATATTTTATAATAATTTAAACATTATTATTTACTACATTGGTGCTCAAAAAAACGTGAGATTTATGAATTTGTTATTGAAAATATGTTATGGACAATATTTTTTGTCCTTTGTTCAGTAATAAAGTAAAAGATATATAATTCATCTTTTAGTTAAAAAAAAAATTCTACCTTTGTATTATAGAACTTTCTATGATAAAATTTCTATGTGTAATATTTGAGTATCATATATGTCACAATATTAAATTATAAAATCATTAAGAAAATGCAAATTAATATCACATAAAAGCTAATCTAAAATCATAAAATTACTGAGAATTAAATGGTAAATATTTACCTATGATAATAAGAAAAATTAATACTTTTTTTATGCTTTATAAAATAGATGTTTCACGAATACTCTACACATGAATAAAAACGTTGCTACATTATACGGAATAAATGTATTAATTGTCACATATAAAGAAATTTTGTTAAAACATAAAATTATTACTCATTAATAGTTATACAGACATACTTCATTATTACGTATTATGTACTTTACTTAAGCTTTTATGAAATACAGTCACTTTTTTGCTATTATTTTTGTAAAATTTATTGCTATCCTTATTTAAAGTTAAAATAAAATAAATAAATAATAAATTTAAAGTAAAATAAAAATATTATATTAATAATTTAATAAAATACTTAAAAATATGACATTTATTTAAATATTTTAGCAAATACAATATATATAGCAAACACTACAATTATTTTCATAGCATATTAAGGAAGAAGTATAAATTTTATGTACATTTTTAAACTTGTTCATTCATATGTTGACAGGTTGAAAATCAAATTTTGCCATGAATGCTTATACATAAAGAATAATAATTTATTGGAAAATTTGTATTATGTTACTTATAAAATCTAATTTTTTAAATTGTTAATATTGTGTTATGTTAATATTATGTCATACCATTTTTTTTACAAGTAGCCACAACTAATCTTGCAATTATTAACCACATAATCAAAGAAATAGAATCCTCATGATAACATGGCCAGCTTAATAAACTTTGTATAGGCCATAGTATGCCTTTTGGTAAAATTATTACAGGTTTATTTGTATATAGATATAGTAAAATCAACATTAATAAACCCTAAAAATATAAATAATATGATTTATTATGAATCATTAAATATGTCAAATTATAATAAAAACAAATAAATATTTATATTAACTTAAATACTTACATTTAATATACGAAAACCATATGTTACAGATATTTGTACCTTCAGTCTGGAAGACAATCTTTCATTTGCTAAATAATGAATATATTGTTTTATAAGATAAATTTAACAATAAATAATGAAAAGAAATAAAAAATAAAACTAAAATTTGATATGATATAATTATAATTTTATTACTTCATATTTCAATCATAAATTATAATTATCAATCATAAAAAATTTTAATTCTTGATTTTAATTATCATAATAATAAATCATAAAAAATTAAAAAATATAAAATATATCTAATTTATTACTTATAATTCTATTAGTGTACTTATAATTCTAATATTTATCATTGATTTTTAATTTATAATATTTTCAATATAATATTATTTTACCTTTTTCTTTTAATGTACTTTCTAATTTATTACATTTACGCTGAAGTTTTGCATATTTCGAAAATTCATCTACTATGGATATCCCAATCATTTCTTGTTTTAAATTAATCAAATCATTTCGTAATTCCATATCATGCTTATTTATTGTATATAAACGAGACGTAATCTATAATAAGAATAATAATTTGTAATAAATATAATTAATTATAATAAGAAATATAAAATATCATCAATACTTACATATTTAATTAAAGATGGGAAAATGTATTCTAAAAGACAACTTACAGTTGATATTATAAGTAAATTCATTTTATATTTCCAATAAGATAAATCTCATATTTCTTATTGGATATTAATCAAATATTAAATACCATTGGAAAATACCTTTCGATTTTTAATAAAAAAGGCTTTGGAGGTTACAACATTATATGACTACTTATGTTAACCTAAACATATGAAAAGATGTGTAATAGATGGACAACTTAATTATACTAGGGATAATTAATTACTAAGTTTTTAAATTTTATTTAGTTGGCATACTAAAATATTTGTGGCATTTTCTTATTGGTTTTGAATAACAGATTTATTTTTTTCTTAAATTCTTAAATCTCGAATAAATTTTCTTAACTTTTTTAATTTATTATAACTTAATATAATTATTAAATAAATTTATATATTTTGAAATAACAATTAAATTTATTAAATTTCTATATTTCTATTGAATAATAAATTAATATATTATATAAATATGATTTATCGTTTTGATTGATATAGAATTCTTAAAAAAATATTTATATTTATTAAATATTTATATTGATAAATTATATTAATATATATAATTTATAATTATATATATATTTATTAAATATCATTGAATATATTATAATTAAAATTTTACGCCAAAAATATTAAATAAGTTTATAATAGATTTATAAATATATTTATATTATATTAAAGAGGATAAGAGGATATATAATATTATATTATTGGTATACTATTAAATCTAGGTTTACAAGAAAAATATGGTATGTCTTATTTCTATATCATTTTTATTTCTTCTATGCTTACAATTGGTAGTGTTTTCATCGGTTTTATGAAAAGTAGAATACACGGTGTGATTAAATATGTTGAACTATTCAGAAATTTTAGATGATACAGAAAGAGATATATCAGAATCTCATTCTAAACTTTTGGATGCTGTATTACAACTTGATAAAGGACAAAGGTTGCATATAATATATAATATCTATTATGTTATTCTTATTTCTTATTTTATAGGATCTTATAACCATTTTATTTTAAATATCTTACTTTTAATAATAGAAAAAAATGTATAATGTTTTCAAAAATAAATATTATTTGTTTCAAAGTAGCAAATATTAATTTCAAGATTATATTTTATAAGATTTAAAGATTATCAATATTTAACAGAAATACAAATTTAATAGAAATCATTCTGTTGTATCACAATTATAAAAATATTCTATATTTATTTATACAATCTTATAATTATATAAGATATTATTCTGTTAATTTTAAAATCTTTATAAAAAATATATATAAAAATATATATAAAAAAAATATATATAAAAATATATATTTTTAAATTTATCATAGGATAAAAAAAGCAGAGAGAAGTGAACCTACATTAGAAGTATCAGAATTTCATTTAGTAAAAAGTGGAATATCTGATCGAGATACAATTCAAATACATGATTTAGCCAAAACATTAGGAAAAAAAGGTCATCATCTTGAAATTACTAAAAGTTTACAAGATATAAAGAAAAAAATACATGTTTTATCAAAACCATTGGAGAAACCAATAGCTGATAAAGTAAAAAATTTTTTATTTATATTGTATAATTAAAATATTCATATAATATTTTATATAAATTTTATAAGTAATGTATTAGAATATAAATGTTTTAAATAGTCTTTATATTGATTAATCTTTAGATTAAAAGAATAGTTGGTTTTAAAAATACAAAACAAGAATTAAAAAAATGGAATGCTGTAATAACAAAGAACAGAACAGCAGAATCACTTCAATTTCCTTTAAATCAATCATCAATGAAATTAGAACCTTCTAAGGAATTTGTTAAAAGATTTAGACTTCAATCAGATTTAGAGAAAGAGCTTGCTGTATTAGAACCAGAAAAAGAAAATATTGAACAAAAAAAAGATAGATTTTCTTTGACATTAAAGGAAATTATTATGAAAAGAAAAGAAGCTGCTAGAATTAGAGCACAACAGGTTTTATATTAAAAACTTAAAATATTAATAGTTTAGTTATTATTATATATTATATATATTTAATTGTACTTTTTTATAGTCTTATAAAGAAGCAAAAGCTCATCGTCAAAGTAAAATTAAAAGTAAAAAGTTTCATCGTGTTCAAAAAAGAGAAAAAATAAAATTACAATTAAAAGAATTTGAAGAATTAAAAAAAACTAATCCTGAAGCTGCATTGGAAAAACTTGAACAATTGGATAGAATTAGAGCAGAAGAACGAATGTCATTAAAACATAGAAATACAGGAAAGTGGGCTAAATATATGCAAATTAGAGCAAAATATAATAAAGCAGTAAGTATAATAAGCAGTAAGTATATAAATTTAAATAAATTTTTTAAAATGAAAAGAAATCTTTATTATGATTTTTATTATTATAAGATAAAATATAATAAGATTTTCTTGAGATTTAATGAAATTAAATTAATTATAAAAAAAAATTATATAAAATTTGAAAAGAGTTTTGTTATCTTTTTTTTTTATATATGATATGATGATTTTTCATTATATAATAAATAGTATTTTAATTGAAATTAATTGAATATATGTATACATACTAAGTGTTTTGAATTATATATATATTGTGAATATTATATTGTGAATTAAATTATTGATAATTTTTGAATATTTGTATTATGAATATTCATCAGATATTCAATCTAATTGTAATCTATTGCATTAATAATTTACTTTTAATGTTATTAGACTCGACAAGAACTTGCACAACAATTATCAATTAGTCGAGATCTAACTCAAAAATTAAAAAATCCAAATGATAGTGATGAAGAAGATGAAGGGGATACTTCATCTATACAGTTTTTAGTTAATGATAAAGAAAATCCATGGATGAAACATATCAAAACTGAATCAGAAATTGATGAATTTGTTAAAAGTTATCGAAAATATTGGGATAATCAAAATAATGAATTACAAAAAAAAGATTTAAACATCAATACAAATGATAATAAACAAATGAATAATTCATCCAAAGATAAACAATTTTGTAATGGTATGTTTATAAAAATTATAATAAAAAATATTAATATAAGAAATATAATATATTGTAAGTTTTATTATTAAAATCTGTTTCATAGAGAAAAAAGACAAAAATATTGATACTATTAAAGATTCTTTTAAAAACCAAAATAATGAAAATATACCAGAAAACTCAAATAAACAGATGATCTCAGTAATAAATGAATCAAATTCCAATTCAAAAGGTATTTAATATATAATAATAAAAGTATATATTATATTATGTTTGACTAACAAATACAAAATTAATTCTTTTTTTTTTTTTTTTTTTTTTTTTTTTTTTTTTTTTTTTTTAGTTGATAATAATACATATAATGTGCAATCATTTGAAATTAATAATCACAAGGAAAATTTAACAAAGGTAGAATTTAATGTTGAAAACATAAATGATATAAATAATTCATATAATAAAATTACAGAAAAAGTTATGTTAAATAATGATAAAAGATCTAAGAAAAAAATTGAATTGCCAAAACCACATTTAAATAAAGTTATAGCCACTTCTAGTTGGAATGTGGAATCTATAGAAAATATTACTACAAAAAATGTCAATTCTTTATTATCTAATTCGTTAAATAACGAAAAAATAAATAAAATATTTGATTCCTTGGAAGAAAAAATTCAAGAACAAATTGAATCTAAGCTTCAATGTGTTACTCAGAATTATGACAAAGTTGAAAAAAAAAAAAGAAAATATAAAAATATTGAATTTGAAGAAGATAATTTTGATGGTCTTGAAATTCAAACAAAAAAACAAAAACCAATCTTAGATTTAAGTTTATATGAAACTGTCAATAAAAATAATTTGGAATTGAATACTGAATTAGAAAAATTTAAAAATATAAAATTTGATAACACTTTATCTATAGATAAATCAAATAAGATAGAAATAGATCCAAATAAATACATGAATATAAAACCTAAACATCTAAATACAGATCTTCCAGTTGATATTACTGGTGGTAATGATGTTTTGGATGATAGTGAAAATGATGAAGAAAGACGTAATATAGTAAGTGAAGCATTTGCAGATGATGACATTATAGAAGAGTTCAGAAAGGAAAAAGAAGAAGAGGTAAGTAAAAAAATTATTATTATAACTTTTTTTCTAAATTATTTTTATAAAATATAATATTAAATTTATATACAGGTGAAAAAATCTCAACCTAAGGATATCGATTTAACATTACCAGGATGGGGTTGTTGGGGTGGAAAAAATATTAAGGTTTCAAAACGTAAAAAAAGACGTTTTATTTTGAGAGTACCGAAAGATTTACCTCGAAAAGATGAAAATAAGGGTGATGTAATAATATTAGAACAAGATAATCCTAAAATAAAAGAGCATCAGATTAATGAATTGCCATATCCATTTACAAGTGTTAAAGATTATGAAGCTAGTGTTAGAATGCCAATTGGAAGAAATTTTGTATCTGAAAATGCTCATAGAAAATTAATTGAGCCTGTTATTAAAACACGTATAGGAAAAATTATTGAACCAATGAATGAAAATGTTTTAGTTAAAAAAAGTAATGAAAAAAATCGAAAATTTACTTCTAAGAAAAAAAATATAATAAATAATAAGAAAAAAATAAAATAAATCTAAATAAAATAAATAAAAAAAAATTATATTGAAATAAATTGAAATAATTATGTATAAATTTTTTAGAAATATTCAAATTTGTTCATATATTATACATGTAATAATAATTTTATATTTTCTCCTTGTTTATCATTTCTGACTAGTTATTTATTGATTATATAAATATTTTATAATTATAATTATATATAATAAATATAATAATTCATTATTATTTAAAAAAATAATGAAATTTATGAAAAATTAAATTTCCTTTTCAGTTCATTATCATAATTATTTATATTTTAAATTTCTATTCACAAATGTATTTTATAATTTTATAACTGTAAAATAGAATCATATATTTATATATTTATAATTTATATAAGAAAAACTATTAGAATATAATTTTAAAATTAATAAAATTAAAAATCATTAATAAAATAAAATATATATATAATAAAACATAGAATACAATTATTTAATTAAAGTAAAAAATAATATATAAATATATATTACACGTAATAATATATAAATATATATTATATGTAATAATATATATTATTATTTTTTATTTTAATTTGCATTTATATTTTAATAAAAATTTATATATAAATTATTTATTGAAAATTGAAGAATAAATATACTTTAAATGGAATGTATTAATGCGCATGCGCCAAAACTAATTTTCGATTGGTAGAGCAATGGATACACGCATCCATGATAGAGATAGTAGTTAAAAAAGAACGTAACGCAAAGGAGTAAGAAAAAGATAGAAAACGCCATCTTGCGCACGCAAAGAAGAGTGAGAGAGATAGAAACCACTGCCAATATGATTACTCGATCACTTGTTCTCAGTAGTAAAGCAAAGTTGGGTGAGAGGGTTGGTTTGTCGTATATTTGGAGCGAAACACAAACTCAAGAAAGAAATTTTTGTTTGTTTTCACATATATCGTAATTGTAAATAATATTTTGTGCCACCAAAGAATGGCAACTACCAAAGACGACAGCACCGATAGCGTGCAATTTTTTGAAGGAGTGGAGAAACTTCTTGAGATTTGGTTCACAAGCAGCAGCAGCATAAACAGAAAGCAGGGCGATCTTAGGCAGATTCCTCAGTAAGTTGAAACATGCTATCTCTCTCAGATTTAATCAATTATTTCTTCTATTCGTAATTTAATTGAAAATTATCTCTTAAAATCTATAATTTATATATAATTTATATATAATATCATCGTAATTTATTATATATCGTATAATATCAAACTTTATAGTAATTTAATACAATTTTCATAATTTCTAATCATGTTTGAACATTAATTCATTTATGAGTATGTATTGAAATTTAAAGTATCATAAGTATTAAAAATTAATCAATGACATATAATTTAAAATAAATAATTATCTTAATAAAATAAAACCGGTCTCTCAAACATGACTGTACTGCCGGTACCTTGTGATGTAGTGATGATAATTATTAGTACGCTTAACCTAACATTCTTTTGAGAATTAGTTTTTTATATTTATGATTATTCTAAAAAGAAAAGATTCATTTTCAACATTTGATAAATCATATTATTATGATTTTAATATGATTCATATATTGTTTAATTAAAAAAAATGATTTTGTTGGAAAATTTTTCTGACGACGCACTACTTTGAATACATTGAATTGTATAGTAGTGTATATGTCGTATTTTTTGGCGAAGATCGATGCGCCCACCTTCTTGTTCCAGTAATACCGACCGCTTAAAGCGAGGCTACGAGACTCTGATATATACATACATTGCTTTATCTCCTTATTTTAATTGAATATAAATAGACATAAGCACCGATGCGATCTTCCTTTTTTCTAAGATCTTACTAACATCTAGATTGAATCATTACATTAAAAAAGTAATTTATAAATTTAAATTCCTTCATTAAATATAATTATTTCATTTTTAAAATCGAATATAAATTAAAAAAATTAATATAATATTTTGCATAATATATGCTATTTTTTAAAAAATCATTATAAAATATGTAAATAATGTTAAACGATTTATTATTATTATTATTAACAAACAAAAAATTTAAAATTACATAAAATTGTTATTATATTATTATATGATATATAAAAATTACTTTTAAAATTTTATTTAAAAAATTTATTAATAAAAATAAAAGTAAAATAATTGATGATTTTTATAATAATGATCAATTCTTTAATAGAAAAAAAATAAAAATTTATATATAGAAACATAATATTTAAAATATTATTTTTTATCTTTTATTTTATAATTTTATATTCTAATAAAAAATTAAAATATATAAGATTTTTGTTAATGACATTTTATACATTATTGATTTACATAGTACTTTCGAGAAACATGTAGTACTACATATATAGTTGTATAAGATATATTTGTATAATTTATATAATTTTGTATAAAAGTGTATTTTCATAGCAATCGATCAAATATTTCAAATTAATATTTTTATTTTTCTAAATTATGTATATATATACGTGTATATATATCTGAAAAGTAAATACAAATTACAGGAATATTAAAATTATTGAATATTAACATTAAAACATTGTTATTATTATTATATTAAATATTTATTATTACTATTTTATTATTATTATTATAATTATTATTCGTTTCGAATTCTATACAATAATTTTAAATATAGTAATTATAAATTATTATAAATATAAATAATAGATAATATGAAATTTTCCAATAAATATGAAATATTGCATATTATTTATATTAAATATTATTATTATTATTTGAAAAATGTTTCTCAATATGACTTATTATGTACCTTCCCGTAGAAATTTAAGCGCGCCATTTATGAATTACAAAACAATATAATCGAAGCAATAAATATAATTTATGTAAAATTTATTATAAATTTTTTAATTATGAGATATCATTTATCAATATTATTTACTATCATTCATTATAGATTTAGTTTAGATATAGGTTATATTTGTCAATAATTTATTTCTATTATATAACCATATTTTACTGTAAACATTTGTTTTAACAAAAATTTATAAAAGAAACTAATAAAAAACATAATCATTTTAATTTGTATATAATTAATTTAATTAATAGAATAATTAATTTAATTAAAATTTAATTAAAGTATTATTACAATCATATCGATATCAAATAGAAAGATCGATAATTCTTCAATATTCAACTTTGTATTTGAATAGTTTGGATGTCATCATTCATTTTATTAATCTATTAGAAATTATTATTAGAATTCATTATTTGGAAATTTGATTTATTTGATTTTCTTGAAATATTTAAAATATAATTCTGATATACATATATAAATGCTTTAATATTTCAAAAAAAACTTCATATAAATTTTTAATTGATTATACAATAATTGTTCTTCTTCAACAGAAAAAATTATAATTATAAATTTTATAATAGAGTTATATTTATCTTATATATATATTTTATATATTTATTTAAGAAAAAATAAAAAAGTTATACATAAATGTTAAAAAAACGCAAATTTGAAATTAAATGTGGTAGAAATTATACATATATTGTATATTTTAATATATTAACATTAAAATCTAATATTCTTAAGTAATATATTTAATATCATTCAATAAATATGAATATATCAAGTAAAAATTGTCTCGAATAATTCAACATTATTAAGAAATATAACAGGATTTTTTTAGGGAGTGATAAGTGTAAAATATAAACAGATAAAATTGAAAAGAGGAAGAATATTTTATCATTTTTAACACGTGCACAGTACATGTATTTTATTAGTATTTATCATTTGAATATTTGTCATGTGAAATATGCTAGTAATAGAAACATTTGAATATTAAAATATTAATATTAATTAAAGTTTATTAAATAGTGCAATTTTTTTTCTAATTTCATTTGAAATAACTTGGAATCAGTTATTTTGTATATAAGGTATATAGGATATATAGATTCACTTTATATACCAGGTGATTCATTTTGTATACCGAGTGATTCATTTTGTATATATAATGTTGAGATAATATATAATGAAAAAATAATATAAACGAATTAAGAGTTAAACAAAAAAAAAAGATAACAATAGTTAAAATTATTGTTTGAAGCTTCGTTTCTGAATATAAGACGAAAAACATAAATTTTATTTTTTTTTTTCGATTTGTTTTTGCATATCAAATCATCTCATTATTTGATTTTATTACTTTAAATTAATTTATTCTGAAACACATTAATTAATCTATGATACTTTACTTCATTAGATAATATAAATTTTAATATTATTTTAACATTTTAATATTGGATAATATAAATTAATGATATTAAAAATCAAATATTAAAAATAAAATTAATTTTTTTTTAAATTTAATTTATATTTTTAATTTTTTTTATATAAATTGAGTTTATCGATATTTGAAATACTTTAAAGTATATATCTATATATATTTCAAATAAATAAATTAATTTTATCATATAAATATTTTTAGGATTTTTAAGGATTAATAAGTTGAATTATTATTTATTGATAATATATATATATTTTAATGATGAATATAAATGTCTTTAAATAAATATTTTTTTTAAAACTAATTAAAAAATAATAAGAAGAATGATAAATTTTATAAATGATATTTTTTGTATATCAATTGATATTAACCAAAATTAATATTTTGTTTCAGATGGAAATGGCAATCGTTACTAAAAATCGTTCGTTGTGAGATTATCAGCATTTGTCGTACTGAGCATGTAGATGCTTATGTCCTCAGGTAGATATTTAAACTTTACATAAATATTTAATATCTTTAATTATTTTATTTTATTTTAATGCAAATGTAAACTTTATTATGCGTACATTGGTTATTATATATATTTTATTATTAATCTGCTTAAATATCTAGAAGAATACAAAAAATACAGAAAAAAATTTGAAATGAAAATTATGAAGTTGTAGATTAATAATTAGATAAATATACTTCTAGTTTACATCATGATTTTTATGTTCTATATTTTAAAAATAAATCGTGCAAGAGATAAATAAATTTCATAATTATCTTTATATTAGCTAAAATTATCTTTAATCTCTACAAAATATCAATTCTCTTTAAAAATTTAATAAAAATTTAATATTTTATAATGTTTTATAACATTAACATAAATCTAAGCATAATTGGTTTTCTTTTATACTTTATATTTTTATATAAAATATTTTTTTGTATTTACATATTTTTCAAAATATATGCTTGTAAAAATTAAAATAATAAAAAATAAGAATTTAAAATTTTACGGGGTTAACTGAATGAAAAATAATTATTTAACATAAAATTTTTAATTAGTTTTATTAAAAAAATGAAAGAAGAAATGAATTATTAAAAAAAAATAAAGAAAAAAATGGAAATGATGTTTATCAAAAATATTTTGCAAGCAATGAGATAAATAATTATAATACTCTTTTTTTTAACTTTTATCATTAAGTTTGAGATAATAAGATCATTAGAATAATATACAATTTTATATTTTTCGATTAAAATTATGAAACTAAATAAATTTTTAATCTATAAAGAACGAATAGTACAATTTTCATATTGTAAAGATACAAATACAAAATTTTATGAAACATATTAATATTATAAAAAAATAATTTACGATACATTATCATTATGTATTTTAAAGATTTCTTGAAAACAAATATATACAAATTAAATATATACTTGTTATATACATTAAAAATAATGTATATGATAATATATGATATATTAAAAATATAGGAATTATTGATACATATTTAAATATTTCCTTAGATTATATTTGTTTATTCTATTTTCTTATTTTTTTTTTAATCGCATTAATTTTGTGATAAGATCATTTTTACGAACTGTTAATTCTTCGTGAATGTTGCCTGGGTTTATTTTGACTTACGTTCCCAGAACCTCATCAAATTCCATAATATAATGATCCAATATATATAATGAATAATCTAAGCTGTCAATTGTTTATGTTACAACTGATAAGGTAATCTTTATACTTTAAAATGCATTCTTTGATTAGTTCTCAGTATTATATCTTGAGAGAAAGACTAAGGCAGCTAAAATAATTGTTATTACATATTTTCATCCTCTTCTGATATTTCTTACAAATTTTTCTTAATAGGATTAATGAAAGTTCTTTTACATCCTTTTATTATTTTTCTTATACAGTATACATTTCTTACATATATATTTTTATTTTGTATATATTTTTATTCTATTAAAAATATAATATAATTGATTCTGAAGAAATGAAATAACATAAAAATTGTAATATTTTTATATTTTTTTCTCATAATATTATATAATTTTTATTACTTATATATTATATATTTTATTATTTATATATAATTTCCACAATTTATAGTATTNATTATATTATATATATATTATTATATTATATTTATTTTATATTTATAGAAAATTTATTGAATTTTATTATAATAATATATTATATTATATTATATTATATATATATTATTATATTATATTTATTTTATATTTATAAAAAATTTATTGAATTTTATTATAATAATTTATAATTATTATATTTAATTATTATATATTTTAATTAAAAAATTATTTTTTACTATATTATTTATTATATTTATTTTTTACTATAAAACAAGAATTGTAAATACACAAAAAAATTTCTAAAAAAAAGATAGACTCTATTCTGTCTAGACATAAAGAAATATCAATTGACAGATTTTTAAAAAATTATTTTTTTAATAAATTTTATAAATTAAATATCAATTTCGTATTATTAGAAAAATAATAAATAATTGTTTATTTAGAAAAATAATAAATAATGTTATTGTAGAATGTGTTATTGATTTTTCTGAAAAATGATTAATAGATTCAATTAGAAATTTTTAAGCGATATTGATCTATGATACAATGATAGACATGATACACATGATTAAATAATCATGTATACACGTAAAGATATGAAAAAAAAAAGATATAAAAGAATTAATTACTAAAAAAATTTATTATTAAATTTATTTTATTTTATTTTATTTTAAAATTATTTTATTTATTAAATTTACTAAAAAAGAAATATTATTTATTCAAAATGATAATATATAATATTTATAATATATTATAATATATAATATATAATTTGTAATATATAATATATTTATAATATATAATATATTAATATATAATATATAATATATAATATATAATATTTTAAATATTATGTTAAGTCTATTAAATAATAAATTATTTGCAAATCAGAAATAGAATGAAAATATCATTATATAATTTCATTTTTAGTGACATTTTTGGTACAGTTTTATTTATCGTTTGAAAAATGAAATTTAAATCTCATATCGATAAAATCTAAATTCTTAAATTTGCAATTTAAATGATTTTGGTTTTCTATAACCAATTATAATTCAAATCGTTAAATTTTTTTCTAAATAATTAAACATTTTTAATTTTTATAAATAAAATTCAATATATTCAATAAATTTCAATATATGAAATTAAAATATATATAGAAAATGCAATTTTACAAACGATTAATTATCTAATTTATTTTATTAAATTTCAAAATTATTTTTTTTTATTTAAACAAAATTTAGTATAATCAAAAATTATTTTATTAATTTCAAAAAATATTGTCTATTACATTACTTACACGATGTAAAATACTATTATAACTCTACAGATTTACATATTTGAATAAGGAAGTCATAGAGAAATATTTCTTAATCAACTATTCATTGAAAAATTATAGCTAAATTGAGGAAAATGATCGTATAAACGTATATTATCGTAATTTTAACTGTTACCTCTTTCAATATATATTTTTTTAAAATTATTTTAAATTAATTTTAATTATGTATGAATTATATATGAATTAATTTAAATTAATATTTTAAATTTTTTAAAATCGATATTTTTATAAATAAAAATATTTATGAAAAAAATTTATTCCATATTTTTTTTATTATTATTTACGAATTATAACTTATATTAAAATATATTAAATAAATTAATATGATTAATTCATATTTTTTTTATATATATTTATGATATGATTATTAAATTATATATTATTATATATATTATTCTTTTTTAATATTATGTTATTTATTATGTATTATATGATAAATATTGTTAATTATCATCTTTAAATTATCTAATATTTCATGTAATCTAATTATTCTTCGAAATTAAGTAGATAATAATGGCTTTATATATATATATATATATATATATATATATATATATATAAAACATAAATTGTTATGCAATTATTTTTCGAATTATTAATTTTATTTTTTTATATATTTTGTTTTTTATTTTTATGTGTATTTTGTTTTTTATCGACATAAATTTAACGAATTAATATAGTATAAAAGAAGTTTATAACAAGATAAGATGTCTCTATTCATTAGAGACATTCTTAATTTTTTATTAATTAAAAAGGATTTTATTAATTAAAAGTTAAAAGAGATTTAACATTTAAAATGAACTTCTTTTTTCAATATATCATTATTGATTTTTTGATTAAATTCCAATTTGATATTTGATTACTTTATTTATTTATTATTTATTTGAAATAGAAACATTATTATGATTATTGATTTGTTTGCGGATTTGTTTTGTATAGGAAAAGATTAATTACTTCTTTCTAATTGTCGTATCTTATATTGATATAAAAAGTAAACTTTATCATATTGTATAACATGTGTGCTTATGAATGAGAATTTTTTAATAAAACATTTATGATATAAAAATATAAATTAATTTTATTTGTAGGAATAAGAAAAAAATTTCCATTATTTTATTTTAAATTTGTATAAACAATTTAAAGTATATATTTTTTTAAGCAAAAACTGTCAATCATTTTGCTGTTTGATAAATTTTATTTAAAGTATATTTATTATCTTTTTTCAACGGTTTTTCCGCGTTGCACAATGTTAACGCGCATTATATATATGTGCGCGTATGCATGTATATATGTGTACCAAAGAAACAGAAAGAAATTGTATTTCTGAAATTAAAATTGACTATGAATTAGTTTATTTTATTACAAAGTAATATAATCCATAATCACAAAGATTAAGATTAATCTTTAAGATTAAATATTTCTCTAATTGATAATACATAAACATTCAATTTATTTACTTAATTTTTTTTTTTTTTCAGTTTTTATTCAGTTTAACTTTATCAGATTTTTATCGATTCACAACTTTTTTGTTTAAATATACTATAATAAAATTTTATTCTAAGAAAAATATACAGATTAATTTAATATTTAATATTAATAATTTAACATTATTTATATATTATTATGTACATAATAATACATAATATTGGCACGTTTAATAAAACATATTTTTTTATAAAAATTTTTCAAAGTTAATTATTTAATGTAAAATGCTATAAGTTAATATATTAATATAATAAATTATCAAAGATTAAACATTAGTTGTAATGCATTCTGTAAAATATTTTTATTTTATAAAATAAGTTAAATAAAATCTTAAATTTCAAATTTTATATTTTATAATTTAAATAGTATATCTTAAGAAGTGATTTTTGAAAAAAATTATGAGAAATAATGTCGCAAATGTTACAATGTAAAAAAATTTGAGGGTTCATAAAGGAATCAGTATTTTAAGTAATTATATTTACATTTTATTATATTAAGTAATTATATTTACATTACATTACATTTTATCATATTTAAATCAATATCAAAATTATCTTGTCTATATTGTACTTTCATCGTTAGTTTATTATAGTGTTTCATTTTAATTAATAAAATAATTTATATATTTCATTTATTATGCACTTTTACTCAGAAAATCTAGGGTCAATGGGGTCTATATGAAATATCAATGATAACCCGTAAATTATATTTAGTAAATTCTAGAAGAAATTGCGATATTTAATTTAGTTTTAGGGAAGTTATACAAACGTTCATAATGAATTTAGAAGATTGTATTTTTATAAAGATACGACTTAATTAAACATTATATTTAAAAAATATAATTAAATTCATTTCTAAATGATAAATGTATAATATCTATTTCTAGTAAATTATTTTTTGTAGTTAATATATTAAGTATTTTACGAAATGTTAATAAGCATATTTTGACTTACTTAATCTTTATATCTAATACCATCTAGATCTGAAACTAAAAATAATTTTACAGTGGAAGCCAAGTAAATGTCTTTTAATAATCTTCATTCTTTGATAACCTTCAACTTTATTATTTATATTAAAAATTTTCATCAAAAAAGAGCAAAATTTAATTTCAATAAAATACTTTAAATTTTTTTAAATATATTATATATAATATTATATATTATTCTTAGAATTTTTTTTCTTATTTTTTATTGACATTTTTAAGATTATATTTAAGTTTTAAAATTCTTTAAAATTATATTTAACAAAAAAAAATAATAAATTTATAATAAATTTTAAGTATTGTTAAACACGTGTTTCTGTCGTCATTGCTCTTCTCAAATATTGATTAACGACGATGATGTCATATGATAAAATGTAATAATGCAAATTTTGTAATGTAATCCGAAATATTTCCCTAAGATTTAAACGAATGTTTATAATTGGTAAATAATAAATATTTAAATAGTTTCATATTGATATTTGAAACTATTATATCTCTTTTTAGCAACAATGTCTTAAAATTTTTTAAAAATTCTGGTATCTGACTGAAAATTGTTTATTTCTATCGAAATATATAAACAAGAATGTTACATTATTTCATTTTTTTGTATAAATATTGATATAAAAATATATAATAAATAATATAATAATATATAATATATATAAATAAACATATACTAAATAATAATTGAGATATTAAGAAATGTTGATATATTTATTTGATTTTACGATGATCTTGAAAATTTTTGCTAAAATAGTTAAATATCAATATGATCTTTTCTTTTTTGATATTCTATATTTATCTGATATAATATATTTTGATATAATATATTTATCTGTGATATTTATTTTGTTTATATATTTATTACATATATAATGAATGTATTATCAATTTTTTAAATATGTATATTTTGTATATTCAATATTAATACAAAATTATTGAAATATAAATTACTTTACAGTGAAAGCAGCATGTTCCTATCAAAACGTAGACTTATTTTGAAAACATGTGGCACAACTACTCCTCTTCAATGTTTGGAGCCTCTTTTGGAACTCATAAAAGAATATACTGGCTTTGAAGAAGTAGAGGTATAAAACTTTTTCTATATTTTTTATTATTAATATATCAAAATATTTAAAATGTTCTTAAGGAATAATTACTTATGATTTATTATTATTATTTATTTAACATTTTAATATTGAATAAGTATATTTAATGTAAATAATTAATTATATAAAATTTAAAATGTAAATGAAATATCTAAAAGACAATTATGAAAATCTTTTTTTTAGAAATCATATATTAAAAATTATTATATTTATCAATTATAATATTAATAATAAACTTCTATTATATATTAAAATATGAATCTTTTGATAATATAATATTTTTTATAATAATTATTATTTATTGCAAATAAATTAAACTTAAAAATACTTAGCTATATAACTTGACCTACTACATGGATAAGTATCTATATATAGGAAACCTCTAATATACAGGATACATCTCTACCTCTTGGTTTATTGATCTTTCCTACTCATGATATAGTATATGAAAATATATTTATTCAAATTATCTCTAATTTAATATTTCTTGTCTTGTAATATTTCTGAATATATATTTTAATATTTTATTTTATTATTTTAATTAATATATTTTATTTCATTATTATATAATAATTAAATTATTAATTGCTTTCTCAATCAAATTTAAGAAAAAATTAAAATACAAAAAATTATAATTGTTTCAGAATGTATTTTATTCGCGAAAAAATTACAAGAAACCAGAATTGCAAATATCTCCGCATCAAGCATTTGAAGAAGAAGTTGGCTTACTCGATACGTTTTTTCCAGGTAATAATTTTTATATATTTATATATTTAAATTTCTAAATAATATTTGAAATAAATATTATAATAATATTATATAATGAATATTTTAGGAAAGAAAAACTTAAAAAAAAATTTAATTTGCTATGTTTCTTTTTTAGGTGGGGAAGCCTATTGTTTAGGTTCTGTAGAGTCAGATTGTTGGTATTTATATACTTTGAATAAAGAAAAATCTGTTGATGAACCTTCAGAACCAGATCAAACTCTAGAAATCTTAATGACTCATTTAGATCCAGAAATAATGGCTCTTTTCACTAGAGATGTATGTTCATCTGCAGATGAAGCAACTCAAAAATCAGGAATTGACAAACTTATTCCAAATATGATTATTGATGATTTTTTATTCGAACCTTGTGGATATTCAATGAATGGAGTATCTAAAAAGGTAAGTATTCTTCATAAAAAATAATCTTGTATATAAAATAAATGTAGAAATAAATATTTAGTAAATAAATATTATTTTTACAGGGAAATTATATGACTATTCATATCACACCAGAACCAGAGTTTTCATATGTCTCATTTGAGAGTAACATTCCAGAAGCATCATATGAGGAAATAATACGACGTGTATTGAACACTTTTAAACCAAAAAAATTTGTTGTAACTGTCTTTGCTAACAAAGAATCGATAGCTGCTAGTTGTCCGCGTGATTTAGAACAAACTGATTTTCTAAAATGTTCTGGTGATTGGCTACGTACAGATGTACAATATTGTCGTTTCAAGAATTATGATTTGACTTGTGCATTTTATTCAAGATTCCCAAGCTGAGGGTTCATGGACGCTTCATTCGGACCTAATGAATCAGGGACAAATGAAGCGCTTATTAATAATTCTACTTTTTCGCAAACTTCTTTTTCTTTTTTTAATTCTATAAATGAAAAAAACAAATTTAATCAATCTATAAAACATATATTAAAACCTACAAATATTTACAAAAAACATAATCTTGTATCTACTCAATATATAAAACATAATAATGAAACAAATCTTAATGAATGCACTGCTACACAAAATTCTATAATTACCCGAGGAAAGAATGTTACAACACCCACAATTCCACTAATTACATCCACGCCACAATCCATTAATCCTGATGTGTCTATAGAAGATAAATATTTAAATAGAAAAAGTAACGATTGTCATTCTCTGCAGAATTACATGGATATTAATAGAGGTACTAATTCTTATTCTATACGATCAGTATCATCACCACAGTTAACAATTAAACCCCTTACACGATCTAAAGTTTATAGGAAAACATCTTTAAAATCAATGAATTTATCAAATTCTATGTTAGATCATAATATATCTAATCATCGTAAAAGTAATTTTTTGACGAGTTCGGAAAATCGTATAATTAATATTTCTAATTGTTCTATAGCTTCCACAGATAAAAAAGTACATTTTTCTTGTATTTCGGAATTGACTCAAGAAAATAATTCGACTGATACAAAAAATAAGTGGAATATGGGAGAAGTACATATTACTTGTAATCCACTTTCAACACCATATCCATATTCCACACCCCATCATAATATTATAAGTGAAACTGTAACAGAATCGCTAGATGATGAACCAAAAAGTCGAAGTTGCGGAAATTTTTTGCCAATTTTATCATTGATTCCACAAACAGTAATCAGCTTTCAATATTTAAGCCCGAAAATGAAATTTTCATGGTGGAGAAACAAAATCTCGTGAAGGTACGCTTAAGTAGACCATTTAGCGCAATTGTTGCTAATGGTCTTATAGCACAATTAAATGCTATTTGGTCAAGCTCTATGAAAACCTCTTACCTCGTAGTTAGTTTCCAATCTTCATCAATTAGAGGTATCCTATCATCGCTATACTTAAATATCAGCCTATACCTCTTTATTATTATAAATAAAATCATATTGAAAGAATGCATGCAAATAGATTTTAAAAGCATAAATAGTTCTTTCATTCTATGGAAACGTTTTGCACAATGTACAACTTTGAATTCTTTCAAAACAATATTGTACATTACGTTTCTATTGGATCCTCTAGTCCATGAAGTTTTTCCTACTTTATTAATTTATAGGTAGAATAAAACATAAAATATCCTTGTTCCATGTGAAAATTCTCTTATAAGGTCTAATTAATCAATATTTCTTGTAGGAATTCATTTTAGAAAAATCGAAATAGATCATACTACAATATTACAGGATTTAATTTAATTTCAAATGAGATATGTTAGTAATATTAAAATTCTCTTAAATTTATTTTTATTATAAATCATTTTTTCAGATAAAAGAATATCTATTTTAAAAAAATTATTTTTTAATTAAAAAATAATTATTTATTTAAATATATTTTTCCTACTTATATTTATAAATATAAATATGAAACAAATAACTTATTTCTTATTTTGATATATTATTTCTAAAAAAATTTATTGATTCATACAATTATCTATAGAAGACTTATTAAACTTTTTAATGGCATAATTCATCAGAGTATGATTAAAATATTCCACATGTGAATAACTACTATATGTGATATTATTAAAAATATGAAAAATAATACACCAGTTGGTGTTGTACAATGTTGGAAATTTAGATTAGATCTTTGTAAACCTGATATAGATTTCCTTACTAAATTAATAATCATTCTATGAAATGGAAAGAGCATTGAACTAGTTAAATTACTATGATTAATTAAATCATTCCTATATGCGTGTGTGTAAAATGTGTGAGCGATGTATGTATATATGACAAATATTTCTTCTAAAATTTTTATTTTTCTGTGAGAAATATTTATATCAACAAAGAAGCAACCATATTTCTAAAAAATTGATTAAAATTTAACTTTTGTTAAATTTAATTTTTTGAATATTCAAGTTTTTATAAAAAGAATTTATATTTTGTTATTTTTTCCTCTGCTTGATTTTCAATATTTCCTGTATAAAATCGGTTGTAAAAGTTATATTCGATTATACTATTTATTTTATTTGTCAACAAATAAATAGGTTTTATAAGTATCTATATTCTGTTAAATTTTATTTTATAATATTTCCAAAAAATATTAATATAATTTTAAAATTAACAATAATGCATAATTTTATAATTACTCAAATATATATAATAAAATATAAAAATATTTCAGTTTTCAAAGAGAGAGAGAGAGACAATAAGAATTATCTAAAAAGTATTATCTAAAAATTTTGTTTCACATTATAAGATGTTTTAATTTTATAAATATACTAATAGTAATAACATCCTTTAAAAACAAATATAATAATCTTTAATCATGAATATAAAATTTATACTATATTTATTTCTTATTTTATGAATGTTATACACATATATGTGTATATCTATATGATATTTCATTTAAATTACATATAATTTGTAAAAAATTTATTTTGTTTAAAAATAATGAAGAATCTGCACTTTTTACAATACTAATCCTCTAATAATATAAGTAAATAAATAATGTGGTAGGTAATATACACTAGTTCTATTATATGCTTTCTAAAATGTATTATCTTTTGCTATAGATTATTGTTGCATGTAAGATAACTTAATTTCTGTATTATGCTCATAAAATAAAGATTATATTTAGTCAATTAATGATGTATAGAATTTATTTATTTTATTTAATGTTATATTTCTTATCTCTTATTATAATATCTAATTTAGTTATTATAAATTTTAATTAGAAATATAATATTAGTAATAATCATTATTTTAAAAAAGATCTGTATTTGTATTTGATAATAAGTAAAATAATTTATAAATTTATTAAATTATATTACCAGTATTGGGATATTCTTGTTTATTAAAATAAATTCCATTAAATATTCCATTGAATTTTGAATGCAATTTATGCATATTTTTGTATGTTAATTCTTCATGAAGCTTTTGTACTTCATAAGTTTCTATATCAAATTTATTTTGAATTTTGCTTAATGCTAATAATGAAAAATAGATATGTACATCAGTACTAATTAATATAATAGATTAAATAAATGAAAATTAAATTTTAATTTTCTTCATATTATAACTTTTAAATTTTAAATTTTTTTACCTTTTTTCAAATCCATATCATTCATTTCTATATTACTGATTTTAGATAACTCATGTCTAAAATTGTCTGTTATTTTTTTTCGAATATAATCAGCTTCTATTTCTTGTTTAGTTCGTGGTACTCTGAATCTGATGCAACAACAAAATCCAATCAATATACTAAGTAGAATAGAAAGAATTATGCCAGCAAGTTGCCAAATTCGAAACCCTGCTACTTTATCTTCCAACCATTTTTCAACTTCACTTCCAACATAATTTCCATCAGATGAATAAGGTGACAAAGATGATAATAAAGTTGATGCAATTGTTGATTCATTTACTATCTTCATAATTTAACTGGAAAGTTTGAATAAATATTTAGAAATAAATTTTCTAAAAGAAAATGTCATTATTAAATCATTGTTATAATTATTTGACTTCATTTTTTGTTTCATGATATTAATAATATAATTCATAAATATTTTACATGTATTAAAAAATTAATATAAAATAATATAAAATTTGTTTCAGAATTATTAATAAAATATTTTGTTTAAAAATTTATATTGATATATATATATATATACATTTTAACTCTAATAAATTGTTGTAATAATTTATAATACTTACATATTAAAAGAAATATAATGAAATATATGTATCAACATTGAAAATTTCAAATTTTTTTCATTTAATTATAAAAATAATTAATACAATGAACTTTAAACAGAATGTGTATTTTGTAGAAAAACGCGCATAACTGAAATTCTATGAGGCACATACTGTAGCTTTTATGTCAATGTTAAATAAAGAGGTGTGGTTACTAATGAACATCCCTATTTGGCACACCCTAGTTTTTATCTTAATCTTATTTTCCAATCCCTATATCCATTTGTTAATTATATATTAATACTAATTTTCACAATAACTCAATATTTTCAATTAGTACAAACAAAGGTTTGATAATTATATCACTTATAATGTAGAATTAATACTTTTATTATATTACAATTAATATGTTAATAAGAGAGACAATTAAATGTAGCTAATAAAAATAATTTATCAAAAAAGACATCTATGTTATTAAAAATACAAATGATACATCAATATATTATTTTATAAAATCCACGCGTTTCTTGTTATTTTAAACATTTTCGTTGTACGTGGAATTTAAAAAAAAATCATTTTCGTGAATTTATAAAGATAAAAAATTTAAAGAAATAGAAGTATGATTATCTTTGATTTTAAAGATAGAATTAATTACATTTTATCAAGTAAAAACAAAAGATAATTTTTAATTTTATTCATAAACAGACTATTCCCTGATTTTTTTGAAAACTTTATGCATTTTGATAATATTATTTAAAAAATTTTGATATAAAATGACTTTTCAATCATATATTGCTGTGTACACATTTCAAGTGTATTTAGCAATATAGAATTTTTATAAAGAACATTATATTGTTCATAGATAATGAATGTTAAGACTCAAAAATTGATAGTTTTTAAGTCATGTGATGAATTAGAATCTTTTGTTATAAACAATAACAAATTTTCTTGCCAGAAGATCAAAAAATTTCTAATAAATCTATAAGATAAATGTGAAATCATTTATCTTTTTAAAACAATATAAGGAATATAATTTTATGTTTACACTCATTCCTTCCTAATGAATGTTCGACCCCTGTAAAATATAATATTTTCAAATTTAATATCTTAATGTTATTAAAAAACAAATATTTTTAAAAGAACTTACGTGATAGTTTTTTTTTCAGTGTTTTTTGATTGAGATCTTGCTCTATTTAATATTTTTAAAAAATCTGTTGTTTTTGTACGCATTCTTGAGTGAATATAAACTTTACTATATTTAATATGATAATGTAAATAATTTCTAAACATATGTATTAAGTCAATGGTATTATCACGAGCTTCTCTATTTGTATGTCTTGGAAATAATACTATAAAAAAAAAAAACATAAAGAAAAAATTAATATGTAAAATTTATAAATTTTAATAATTTTTATAATTTGATTTTGTATTTTTTATATTTTTTTTATAATTTTAACATAATTAAATTAATATTTACCAAATGTAATATATCCAATGCAATCTCCAACAGCTGCTTCAGAATCTTGTAATTCTAATGGTGGTTCTCGATGGTTAAATAAAACTTGTGGAGCTGTATGACTTGCACGTCTGCCCTCTTTCAATTCTTGTAAAAATAACTTTCCAATAACCATATCATCTTCATCTTTAAATATTGTGCTAAATACCACTGTTACCCTATCACTTTTGGCTTCAACATACCTTTATATAAAATATATATAAATTAAAGATTTTACTTATTTTTATTATTTTTATTTTATATATTTTAAAATAAAAGTAATATACATTCTTACATTGTTTCTTCATCTCTATATTGAATAACTGCCCTTTTTTGCAATTGTGTACCTGGTGAATCATAATATTCTTCTTGAAAATCAAAATATTTTTCAAAAACACTAGCAAAACAATGCCTTTTTAAAAGTGCAATTTTTTTAACTAATGATTCCCAATCTTCAGGCAAATTTTCCAAATCTATTAATACAGAGACATTATAACCTAATAAAAAAAATACCAAAATCTTATTAAATAATGTTTGAATAACATAATTAATAATTATTATTAATTTATTATTATATTTCTTAAACTTAATTATATTGTTTACCATTTTCAGGAGCTATAAGATAAGGTCCATATTCACGTATAAGTAACTCATCAGCCCCATGTTCTTGCAATTGTTTATAAAATTTAAGTAAAATACTTATCTGTAACAAAATTAAGCATATTATTTAAAAGAAAAAAATATCAAATATAAATAAAAAAGTACCAAATGAAGTTTTATTGTGAATTATTATTATTATAAATTTAAGTTTGATTAAGCAATAAAATACATAAATAACATTAATTAATTATATATTACTATTTTAATATATAATATATAAATTTTATAAAAAATACACATAATAAAATTTGCTAAAAAATACACATAATAAAATCTTTTAGAACTTACTCTAATTTTTGACTTATCACCACTTAAATTAGAAATATGAAATAAAACTCCATCAAAATCTGCTATAACAACATCTGTAGATTCTGGTTTATGACTATAAAAAAAGATATATTTTAATTATATTACATATATTAAATATATAGAATACAAAATCATTATTGATAATAAAAATATTGATAATAAAAATTAATTACATTATAAACATATTAATATAAAATTATTTTATTTTCATTATTTTTTGTTTTCATAAATGTTTAATATTAATTATATATTTTTTATATTAAGATAATGTTAAATAAATATTAAAATAGATGATTAAATGCTGGAAAAACTGTATTTTACATAAATATTTTTTGATATAATGTAAATAAATCTAAATTTTTAATCATTTTTTTTTAATTTATATATACAATATATATATAAATATTAAATATTCTATTAAAATAAACGTCATTGATATTTGAAATGGACACCGCCCTAATTTGTAATCTTTAACTTTATCTTAAAAACGTAAAAAATATCTTGTTCTTAAAAAAGGAACATTTTACTTACCCCGACAGAGCATTTTTTATTTTGTTACTTAACGTTTCTTCTAGTATCCTATTGTGTATCTCTAACAAAATCATTATTATATCTTATATTAATTAATTTTAATATTATAACACAGTAATTATTAATTATCTATTGAGAAATTCAATCATATACACGATTCTGACTAATTTCTAATCTTTTCTCTTGAACCAAGTGATCGTAGGTTTAACATAGCCAGATCACCTAACTATATGTATGTTGTACCACTACCAATAGCAATTGATTTATTGGACAATATACATTTTATTATATTCTATTTAATATGTAAAAATTTTCATTTATTTACTTATTTCATAGATATATATAATATACAAACATTTTTATTAATTGAATTCAGAAAATAATCAATTATTTTACTAATCTAGTTATAATTACGTACTTAAGTCAGTTTACAATACAGAAAAATATTAAAGGTTCACCATATATTGTATCAATGTTCATACATTATAAGAAAAATTAAAATAGATTTCAAATATTTACTAATAATGTTTTATCTTAATTTTAAAAATAATATCATAAACATAATTTTATTTTGTAATTCGAATTAATAAAATAAAATTCTTATAATATATTCATATTATATATATTCATATATTCATCTCTAAGATTATTCTTTAATTTTTTCGTTATTAATAAATTTTATATTTGAATTTTATATTTTAAATAATTTTAAATAAATAATCTTTATGAACTTCTTAAATAAATTTTTAAATTTAAATTTAAAATTTAATTAAATAACAATAATTAAATAATTTAAAAAAATAATATAACAAATAAAGTGATTTATATATTTTTAATTAGTCTAAAGATACGTATTCTTTTATTTTAATATTTAAATATTATTTATTAATTAATATAAATAATATTTAATAATAATAAAAAAGAAGATTTATTATATACATATACAAAATGTGATTAAATATCTTTTACAATATATATATTAAAATATTAGAATTTCACAATATTTAATTAAAAAATGCGCCAAAAATTTCAAAACAATACACATTCACAATTAACAACGTATATTTATGATATTATATGATATTATATGATATTGATTCTCCGAATCAAATATCAAAAGTTTATAAAATCATGACATATGTTGCAATTTATTGGTAGACAAAATATTAAAATCTAAATTAATTTATATCGTTATAAATATATATTGATGTTTATTGATATGTATAATTTTTATTATACTGATTTAATATTTTTAAAAATTATGGAGTAATAAATAATTAAAAGATTTATAAATGATTTTGAGATTAATTTCATCAACAATAGCTGAAATCGCATTACCTATCGCGTAATTTGATTTATTTACATCCGATAATTAGATTCAATGAACTGCGCTAATACATAAATTCATTATAATATCGACCATAATGTTATTAAAAGTATGAGATCATCATAAGATGGTATTTTATAATGTACTTGGTGCTAAATATAAATTGTAATAAATTAAAAAATATAGATATAGAAAACAAATGAACAATTTGATAACTAATTTATTGATGAAATATCAATCATTGATAATTGTAATTAATCACTTTCTAACATGATTATTACTATAATATAGAAAAATACAATATTTTATTTTTGAAACTCTATAATAGAATTATAATATATATATATCTAATAAAATAAAATAAGAAAAATTAGATTCACACACTTAGTTATTGTGCTTGAAAAAATCAGATATTATTTTACACTTATATTAAAGTTAATTTGTTTTATAGTTTAAGTTTATTAAATTATTATTATTCAATTTATTGTTAAATTAAAGTAATGTTTAAATATTAATTTATTGTATTTTTATTTTTATATCATAATTTCTATCATCGCGATCAAAATACTTCAACATTCTACGACTTGATCCCAAAATCTTTAAGAAATATCTAATAGAACAATGTATATATGTATATATTTATATATGTAAATATTTGTTTATTTGTTTATTAATTAAAAATTACAAATAAATTTATATATTAAAAATATAAGATTCATTTATTTAAATATAAACTATTTATTTTTGAATTGATATTTTTAAATTTTCTTATTAAATATTTATGATATATATGACCTTTATATATTCATTTTTCATTATTGATATTATATTTTATATTAAATTTTTGAACACATTATTATAAAAAATTAATAAGAAATACTGTTAATTTGATTATAATTAATATTTAAATAAATTTTTTTTTTAATTTAAGTAAATTATTCTATTTTAATTATATATTCTATTGTTTTCATTATTTTAAATAATATTCTATTTTTTAAAATTTTAATTAATTACGTAATCAATATATAATATAAATTATTCATATATGTTAGTATTATTGAACTTTTGAAATATTCCTTAATAGTTAATTAATTTATTTTCATTTTAAATTTTATTTTCATTGCTTATCTATTCTATAGCGAAGAACTTTTAATAATATGATAATAATAAAAATATATTGAAAACAAGATAAATACTATATATAACATAATTCTATAACAATACATTATGTTTTCATTCAAATATTTATTTATAAATGAGGTGACATGACATGCGCCATGGAAAATAGGACATAGCAATGGCTTAAAGAAGAAGAAAAGATCGTGCATAACTATTACTTCAATTATTTCGATGCTCAATACGTTTTTCTATATTTTTTGTATGTCGAAAAACCGTTTTCCGTTTGAACATAATATTTGCAATTGTTCGAGATATGTACAAATTATATACATTCAAATGTTGTGTTTGAAATTACAATTCAAATGTCACCAAAGCAACAAAGAACTCGACATTCTCGATTCAAGGTAATTTTGATTTATATATGAAAAAATACTTAAATACATATAAAAAAATTTTTCAAAATTATGTGACAAATTATATGATAATTGTAAAAATAAATATAAAATTTATTGTTTATTAAATAATATAAATAATAAATTTAAATCAATGAAAAATAATAAATATGATGATTTTTTTATGAAAATATAAATATTATTTAAAATAATGTTTATATATAATTCATAATTTTTTTTATAGAATTATATATTAATAATATTTTACATTTTGAAAAAAATATCATAAATACTTATGTTACAATATTGAATATAATAATTTACTAATATGTCTTAAATATTTTTATATCATATCAAATGAAATAAATATTCCTTATAATTTTAAGGTGATAACTCCATTTCGATCATTAGTTCTTTGTGGTGAAAGTAGACAAGAAATGGAAGATTGGTTGAATGCATTAAGAACAGTAACAAAGAATTGCCCTCAGACAGATTCTGGAATTACAGAAATGCTTAATGGTAATCATCAGTGGTATGCAACAAGTCATGCAAGACCAACATATTGTAATGTTTGTAAAGATGCTCTTTATGGTAAATATAAATATTTTATTATATATTTTTATATATTTTAATTATATATTTTATTTATTATAATAATTTATGTACTTATTAAAATAAGTTTAAATAAATTTAATTTTTTAATTTTTACAACATAAAATTATATTTTAATAAGAATATATTATATTATAAAATAATTTAATTTTAGATAATAATAGATAAATAGATAATAAATAATTTTTGTTATAGTATATATATATATAGTATATAGTTTTATAATACTAAATTTAATTAATAAAAAATAAATATAATATAAAATATAATATATAATAATGAATATAATATAAGTAATATAAAAGATAATAAAAAATTATTATGTGTATAAATCTTAAATTATTATATGTATAAATTCATATAAATATTATTTTATCTTAATATAATAAAATTATAAAAAATATTAATAATTATAAGTATTATAAGTAATAATATATATAATATATATATTATATTTATATATTACAGGTGTTACTTCTCATGGTTTAAGTTGTGAAATATGTAAATATAAAGTTCATAAACGATGTAGTATAAAAGCAATAAATAATTGCAAATGGACCACTTTGGCATCTATTGGCAAAGATATTATTGAGGATAAAGATGGGGTATATGTAAAAAGATTATAAATTTATTATTATAATTCTGTTAATTCTTTTTCTGAGTTTTAATTGTTAAAATAAAATGAAATTTCTAATTGTTATGATAAGTGATATTTTATTATAGTTCTTGTTTTTTATTAAAAATAAATTATAATTATTATAATATATTTTATGAACTATTCTTATACAGAATATTACTATGCCTCATCAATGGATGGAAGGCAATTTACCAGTATCCTCAAAATGTTCTGTATGTGATAAAACTTGTGGCTCTGTACTCAGGTATAATATTATATTACAAATATATGCATAATTTAAATTTAAAATTTTTATTTTCTTATTATAATTATATAGGCTTCAAGATTGGAGATGTTTATGGTGTAGAGCTACAGTACACACAGCTTGTAGACCTGCCATGAGTGTTAAATGTCCATTAGGACCAGTTAAATTGAGTGTAGTTCCTCCTACAGCATTGCATAGTATAGGTGACATTATTTATAACATCTAATATTTTATTAATTATATTTTTTTATAGTTTAATTGTACATACATATTTAATGAATTTTTTTTAAGTTTTTTTTATAGAATCTATAACTATTATAGAAAATTTTCTATTTTTTTTAAAAAAAATGTTAGTATATATATTATTTTTACAATACAATAATTTTCAAAATTTTATAAAGAATGTAATAATTATTTTAGGTAGTGATGAAGCTTGGGAAGCTATAAGACCTACTGGATGCAGTCCACTTTTAGTATTTGTAAATAGTAAATCTGGTGACAATCAAGGTATTAAATTTCTTAGAAGATTTAAACAATTATTAAATCCAGCACAAGTATTTGATCTTATAAAAGGAGGACCAGGACCAGGGTAAAATATTTTATAAATTTCCTTATAATTTTAAATTATTTAAAAGTATAACTTATATAACTTTAATAATATTAACTTTAATATATAATTTTATAGGTTAAGATTATTTCGTCATTTTGATCCATTTCGTATTTTGGTATGCAGTGGGGATGGATCTGTTGGTTGGGTTCTTTCTGAAATTGATCGTCTAGGAATGCATGTAAGTAAATTAAATAAATAAATTAAATAATTTTTTTGCTTGATAAATTCTTGCTAATTGCATGAGAT